TGTAAATTCCCATCTCTTGGAGTTCAAGCAGAGACGGGTCAAGGGTTAGAGATAGGGGCAAAATATCACATGAGATTATGCATATTGCTTACTAATTAAACAACAACAACAACAAAAATCATGACTCTTGTTTTTTGACAAGGCTCTGAAAAAGGGCCTCTGCACCAAACCAGTTCTGTCCTTTGCACTATAACAAAATCTTTATCTTCAAGTAAAGATATGATTCTCTGCAAGAAAGATGGAGCACTCTCCTTTTTCTTGACATGTGCAAGGCAAATTGATTTCAGAAGGTCCTGACAGTTACTTGAGAGTTTTCACATCATCTTGTGGAATGTTTCTTTTCAAACAAAGGAGTGGGTTATAGCTATAGACTGAAGGACTGTAACTGAGATTAAGCAGGCAGTAGGGACTGGCTCTGTTATAAGAGAGGTATATAGAATTGTGGATAAATGTTATTTTTTAACTGCAATGCGCACAGTTTCTGGATTGCTGAAAAACTGAGCAGACTGTCTCCATGGTGGGGGGGGGATATTTTCTTCAAATCACAACTTTTTAAATCTCAGTTTTTAATAACAAATGTTATTGAAGTGAGAGAGTAATACAAAAAATACATCAGTACTAATTCAAAGACTTAAAGCAAGCATTCATTTGTTCTGACACTGAGAATTAATAAAAAGAATAAATATTTAGGTTCATATATATAAGATCATATCATACAGTGATTTTATTTTTCCATCTTAGTCCTGCCAAATTGTATGCTGGGAATTTTGCATCTCAAAGTTAATCACAGAATAAGTGTAGAATTGTGCCAAAATTGTACATGGAGGCTAAAATATCATTAGTACTCAAAAATCTTCATATTTCTGATAGTCTATTAAAGTCCTCAATTTTCATCCATGTGTTTGGAAACATGTATCTGCTTGGCTTCAACAGTCTGGTTTTCAGTTGGTAGAGAGTAAAGAATAGGACCAGCAATTTCCTGTGTTACAGGCCAGTGTACGTTTCTCTCGAGTACAGATCCTAACCCCATTCTTTCTGCCTCTAAAAGCTCACATTATCTCTTACAGGATCATTTCTTTTTTTTAAAATTATTTTTCATACTTCCAAGATTTATTTAAAGTATAGCAAGAAAACAAAATAAACAAATAACAAAATAAAATAAGTAAACATGAAAATAACATAAAATAAATAAGCAAAGTTTTTAAGTGTTTTCCTCTCTGCATATCACTCTATCTCAGTTGATGAGCCCAGTGACTATGATTACATCCCTTGTGGGATCATTTCTAAGCCATGCTGTGGTCACCTTGCTTCCAGTTGAGGCAGGGTAGCCAGAATTAAAAAAATTAAATGAGTTTTTGCAGGCAGGTATAGCTTAGATAGTTTTAAAAAATGGCCAAGCATCCAGCTGGGCATTATCTTATCAGAACATAAATTTCTAGAACAACTGAACCAGACACTGGATGTACTGGGGGATGGTGTTTTCAGAAAAACACTGAAATAAAATAGCAAAACAGTATCTCAAGATTTTCACAGGACACAAGTGAGTTCAGAAATAAATGACAAGGGTAGAAACTTGTAGTCAGCAGAGTGCAACCCACCAGACAGTAAACAAGTCTTTGTTTAAGAAATAGTTTGCTTAATCATCACTAAAAATATATGTATAAAACACTCGGTTAACAACAGGTCAGGTGCTCCTTCTCTTAAGTCACCCATGTTCTCCTCTGAGCATGTTGTTTTCTTTCTAATAAATTCTCTCTTAAACTATACTTTATACTTGCTCTAAAATTCTTTTCTGTGGTGAATTCAAGAACCCACAGAGCAATATACCCACCCCACCTGGTATCACCAGTCACACCCCATGCTGGTCCATCCAACATCCACAACCACGATCAGCGCCTTTCTACAACAAAGATGCGATTAGTTCATTTTCTTCTGTAAGATAAATATGAACCAAGAGCTGAGGGGCACACTAAAGTGGTGGGGGAGGAGGGGAAGGAACGGGGGGCGGGGCATGCAACAAGAGAAAAATAAAGCACAGGAGTTGCTCAGAAACGTGTAGGCATTTGAGAAATTACATTCATTTGATCAAAACCAGAAAGAAACAACTCTGAAAAGGTAAAATGCAGATTAAAAACTCAAGGCAATTATCTTCTTAAACTCATTTATTTTGGCTTTAAAGGGAAAGAATCAGCCTGGGAAACTGATGGAACTGGATATCCAAGCTCTATGTTGAGAAAACTCTTTCTGGTCTATGGATCTAAAGCAGGGCACAGAAGTCACTTCTTGATTTTGCTTCTTTCTTCTTCTCTGCTGCTTGACAATTTCAACTTCACTAATATTAAACTAGTTGAAATTTCCTAAACCCATCCTACTACCTTACTTTTCAGTGATTTTCCACATACCTTTTCCTCTGTTGAGAGTTTCCTTATTTTCTATACTTGCCCGACAAGTGGATTGATTCTCCAAAATCCAGCTCAAGCATTGCCTCATTTCTGAGGAATGTTCTCTCAACTCTTCAAATTCTTTCCTCCATATCATCATTAACCTTCCATGAATGGTTTTTATGTGCTGAAAATCATGATTACACTTATTTCCTATCATGGCTATTGTTCCCTTCTAGTCTTGATAAATCCTCGGGGACAGAACCTAAGTATTATTTTTTATCCTTGATATATTTTTTACAGAATTCCTAGCACAAAATAGGTACCCAATATATAGGCATAGACATAGAATTTTATGAGGGAATGATTATTATCCATGTGTTCTGTTCAATTGTGACTGTCCCATGATGGAAGGGGGGTTTTGTTTGTTTTTTGATGATGATCATTTGTCTTTTCATTTTTTAGTTCAACAGCTGGTGCCAGGGAAGACCAAGAAAAAGTGGTCTCCATCTTGACTCCAGATTTTAAAAGGCCGGTAACTCTTACTCAGAAGCTTATGACTGCAGAAGAGAAAACATTGCCAATGGGACTAAAAACAAAACTCTTTTACAAATGTAACAGAGTTTGTTTACATGCTCCAGAGTATAAGTGTCTGAAAATACTCAATGGTAGTGAAATGAGGTGTCCGACTCTGCAGGCAAAAATTCACGGAATCAATATTCCAAAAATGGACCATTAATTTCTTCTTTTACCCACCAACTGCACAGCTTGAGAATATATTTCAAAAATCTGATCTTGTTTTAAACTACTAAAATATTTTCCAGTGTCTAAATAGCAGCCAGTTCTCCTTATGTTATTCATGATTGCAGCCTGTCATTGTGACCAGTTTTTTCCACTACTTAACTGAGAGTAGCATCATTTCCATTTTGCTACTGCCTGATAGTCCTGAGACATGTAAGCCATAAAACTGTACCCATCAAGAAATATTAGTGGAGGGGGGCTGGCCATATCCTTTTACAATGCTTAAAAGCTTAAGCTGTAATAATAAAATGTTGGCTTTTATTTCCTGAAATCATCAAAAGGATAACTTGAAGGAAATGAAAATAAAATCCAACAGGATTATAAAATTAGGGCAGAGTTAAGGAAAAATATTTTGAGTACCAGAAGAAATCTAAAACAAATAGAAAATAATAATACATTCGTGACACTGCTATTTGACCCAGACAATTGTTAATAAGTTATGTAATTGGAAACTCCTTGGAGAATCTAGATATGTACTCATGGGAGGAAGGCAAAAAAAAAAAAAAAAAAAAAAAAATTCCTGGGATACTCATCTGGATTCAACCAACTAGACAGAAATGAAAATGGATTGTGATTTATAAATAAAGTACTAGAATAAAACCTTGTCAGCTGTCAGAATGGTGAGACTAAGAGAATGGGAGAAACTAACTCTTGGTAAGACTGGTCCATGATTGAAGAGGAAGGGAGATAATATCATACCCTATTATTGATAATCACAGGAAATGGTAAAGCTATGTGGTTCAAGTCAATTAATTAGTAACATCTCCATGCCTAGTAAATTGTTATAAGTATAGCATTTAAAGCTTTGGAAAGTTACCACACATGTTTGACAATTTTAGATTTGGAAGGAGTTAAGGTAAAATCTTTATCTTGACACATGACCCAGAATTCCCAGCAGAGGTGTTGCAAAATTCAATAAGACTGGTCAGTTGTTTGATATAATGAATCTAGTTAACAGTGGAAAAGAAAGCTCAGGGAAGCTTGCCTTGGTGGTATGCTTACAGAAGTCAAAGTTCTAATAAATCCATAGAATTATTATGTTCTTCAGTTTGGCTTTGATCCAAATAGTCTCATGGAACAAATTTCCAAAATAATCAGAGTGAACAGTAAATATCTCTCACCCCTCATCAGTGCCTCTGCTTGAGCTCCATTATTGTGTATCTCCTAAAAGTCATATTTAAAAAAATTCTGTCCATATTGTATATTTTATCCCATCTCTTTGCTCAGTACTAAAGTCCTCTGTATCCACTGAATCCATTCTTTGTAGCTTTTCTGAACATTTTTCTGGTAACAGATTTCCTTGAGACCTATATAAACTCTTCCCAGACAAATATGGCTGCGTGCACTTGTGTGCACACGCATCCATGCACACATACACTCTCACACTTATACACACACATGTATATTCAGTTTTGGGCATACCATTTCATGCGTTCATTGATCCCATTATTTCATCTGTGAATAACAGCTTAGTTATTCTTGCTTTATTGATTTGTGCTATTCTGGCCTTAGACAAAATTTTTAAAATGAACCAGCTCACGTCTAGTTCAACCTGCTCTTCTGTAGTGAACACTTACAGAATGTCTGTGGTGTGATGTGCAAAGTTCAGCTTTAGAAGACAAGGATACAAGTTTGCCACACTTATTTTGTTCCTTCTACAAAACTGCTTGATACTCCTGTTCATCTTTGCCCAAATGACCTTTGTTGGTAAAAGTTTAAACATTCCATATAAACTACAACAATATTTTCACCAAAGTACATAGGTTTGAATTTGTTGCTGAGTAAATTTCTTACTGTAAAATCCTTAGGAAAAGGGTTTTAAAAGACATTGAAGACCTTGGCAGGGTTACCTGGCAAAAACAGTTCTCTCTGTAGCTTTGTTCTGGCCTGCTGGGAAAAGCATCTTTTCTTCAACCAGTCTGCTTGGAATTCACTGTCATGCTCATCAGGCCACTTGATATACACCTGATAACATAGAAAGCAAATATCATCTATGTGTATATTACACTTCTGTCTACTTTTTTTTTCCCTTTACTATTGCTCTGTTTCTGAATGTTATTTAAGATAACCAAGAAATCCACCTATTCCTTAACTTTCTTTTTAAGGTGCAGATTAAGCTTAAACTTTTGGAAAACAAGGACAGCAAGCCAAAGGGACACATTTGTGGTCTGGGCCTCAAAACAGCACTCAAGAAATAGAACAGAATATGGCTGGATCTAAAGTTCTTGTCCTGTGTCCTTTTAACCTGCAATCCTCAAAATTTCTGTGATAACTGAAACTAGAGTCAATTAAAATTCCTGCCAAAAGCATTAGAAATAGTAATGGTGATGATGAGGAGAACAACAACAATTATAAAATAATGCTGCCCATCGAAGCTGGACTGAATTTTAAAAATGTGGTACACACGCTGGGCTCGGTGGCTCAGCCTGTAATCCCGCACCTTTGGGAGGCTGAGGTGAGTGGATTGCCTGAGCCCGTGGGTTCGAGACCCGCCTGGGCAGGCGAGACCTCATCTCTACAATAAATCAAAAAATCAGCCAGGCGTGGTAGCGCATGCCTGTAATTCCGGCTACTCGGAAGGCTGAGGTGGAAGGATCGCCGGAGCCCAGCAGGTCGAGGCTGCGGTGGCTGGGAGCGGCCACTGCACTCCAGTCTGGGTGACAGAGTGAGACTCCAACTCAAACAAAAAAAACAAACAAAACAAAAACAAAAAAATGTGGTACATATACACAATGGAATATTATGCAGGCCTAAAGAAGGACAAACATATGAACTTCACGGCAACTTGGATGGATTTAGAGACGATCATACTCAGTGATCTCTCACAGAAACAAAGAACAGAGTACCATATGTACTCATTCGTAAGTGGACCTTGAACAATTATAATAATATAAGAAAGGGATTGGTAGTAGTGGGAAATTGCCAGGGGAGGTGGGATGGGATTTGAGGGAAGGGCGTTTGAGGGAAACTGCCGGGGAAGGGAAGGGCACACCTCATCAACAAGGGTACCTACATAATCAATATTTGTATACCTAATCCTGAATTGTACCCCATATCTTTAAAAATAAAATAAAATAATGCCATTTTCAGTGCTCGCTATCATAACTGTATATTATATATCAAGCACTACAGGCATAACTCATTAAGTTCTCATAACGGCTCTAGGGAGAAGGTACTACTATTCTTCTCATTTTATTTAAGCAAGGAGAGTAAGATTAAATAACATTTCTAAGGCCACTTAACTAGCAGGCAGAGGAAACTGGGAGTGTCAAATTTTCAAGTCAAGATGAGAACAGGGGAGTCATAAGAATCCCAGTAAATTTACAAGAGAGAAACATGGGGTGGTGGCTGCATCTGGTTTACAGTTTTGAGAGTCATGTATTTGGGAATCCTAGAACAAATCTTGTACATCTGTCTACTAATTTGACTAAAAAATTTTAGTCAAGACTGCTTTTTTGAACACTCACTGTATGCCAGGCACTATGTTAAACATTTTTAACCATATTATTTCAGGGAATCCTAACATTTTAATGAGCAAAGTCTGTTAGTATTCCTATTTTACAAATGAGTAAACTGAGGCCCAGAAGCATTGCTCTTATTGTAGAAATAGTTTGATTGTATCTTCAAGGCTGCCACACTCTCTGAAAGAGTGATGAGCAATGCTGCAAATTAAAAATAGTAGTAGTGACTGGGTACAGTGGTTGGTATCTGTAATCCCAGCACTTTGTGAGGCCGAGGTAAGAGGATTGTCTGAGCCCGTGGGTTTGAGACCAGTCTGGGAAACTTGGTGAGCCCTCATCTCTACAATCAAAAAATATTAGCTGGGCATGGTGGCACATGCCTGTATTTCCAGCTACTTGGAAAGCTGAGGCGGTAGGATCGCCTGAGCCCAGCAGGTCGAGGCTGCAGTGGCTGTGGGTGTGCCTGGACGACAGAGTGAGACTTCAACTAAAAAAATAAAATAAAATTGTAGTAGTAGTATTAATAGTAATAATAGCAGACGCTTTCATTTCCTGAGTATGCTTAATCTGCACTCAGTACTACACAAACATGGCTCCACCTATGGCTATATGTATGACCAAGTGAAAAATAATTATTTAAGTTATATAGACTAGCCCTTTATTTAAGTTGGGAGAGAAGGGAGTCGTCATTTAGAGATGATTACCTTTTTTGGGTCAAACGTCAAGCCTTGAATACCAATGTTCACGTCAAGAGCTTCGACGAGAAGTTTCCGCGCTTTTGCAGAATCCAGGTAGCAATCGGAGCACGGGCAGTTGTCTCTTAGCCACACGGCTGGGTAGAGAGACCCTGCCCCATCGTGCCAGAGAATCTGCATCAAGTGAGCCCCCTCTAGCACTTCTGCCTTTCTGATGGTGCAATGCATGTTTCCCGTCGTCTTCAGGAGTCAATCTTGTCAGCGACCTGACCTGCTATAATAAATCAATGTTAAAAGGAAGCTCAGGCAGATCAGATCTAAACTTGACCTCTAAGAGTGTGAACCCTTCAAGCGGACTCTGGCCTCTGCTGTTGGCTAAGCTGTCCATCTGTGGTTCGACGTATTAACGCAGAGACCTTTGCTCTGGTGAGAGCATTTCACATGCTGTAAGCAGAAACTCAGTACAAAAGTAAATAAGATAAAAGTGCCGAGTCAGGATCCAGATGAAAGGAATTCCTGTTTTTCTCAGAGAAACTTTAGATAAGTTCAGAACCAGTGACAGATGAACTTTTACAGCTAGGTTCATGTAAAAGCTCTGGGAGAAAAGTGTTCCACAGATTGAAAGTGTAACCATCATCCCTGTTTAACTGATAGCCAATTGCACATGGCTTTTGAAAAAAATGCTTTTATGATACTAAGTTAGGAAACTTGTTCTAATGAAGAGATTGTGAAGACAGTTCATGTATTTTAAAGGCTGCTTAATTCAGAACATTGTGCTATTCCTGTTCTATCATATACTTTTTTATTTCTACGTTACATTTTCTCAGTGAAATATAAATGACCCTAGGCTCTGTGAGGAACTTGTGTGATTTGTTCTTTGAGATTTGCTGCTTTAATACACATCAATAGTGTGCCTTGTTATTTTGGTTAGTTTGTTCTGAACCTTTGTGCACCTTCATATCACTTGGGAATATATGACTTCTTTTTTTATCAAAAAAATTTACCAGAGTTGAGGACATGGATTATTTATAGAAAAGGAAATTTGATGATGAAGAGGCATCATGGTATTATGAACTACGCATCTGTGTTGACTCTACATTTTTACTTTCTTCATATTTTATTTTCCAGAACACTAAACTGATGAAGTAGAACTTACATGGCAAAACTAGAATTACAGGGAAGAATAAGAGCTTCTTAGCCTTTTTTTTAGATAGGCAATTTATTTTTTATTTACGTTTGAAACGTTGACATTGTAGATTCACAAATTGTAGTTTTATAAATAATACAGAGAGAGACCCCATATATTTTTAATCCAGTTGTCTCTAACGGTAACATTGTATACAATTACACCACAGTATCATAAGCAGGATATTAACGTAGATATAGTCAAGATACATAAAGTGTCCTCACACAATTCCTCAACTTCTCGTGTTGCCCTTAAATTGCCACACTTACTTCTCTCACAATCCCACCCCACCTTGACCACTGATAACTCCTATTCATTTCTCTGTTTGTGTCATTTTATCATTTCCCAATGTTGTATAAATAGAATCATGTAGTCTGTAACCATTTGGGGTTGGGTTCTTCTTACTCAGTCTAATTCTCTGGAAATTTATTCAGGTTGTTGCTTTTACCAATAGTTTCTTCCTTTTTATTGCTGAGCAGTATAGCATGCAGCATGAATGGATGTACTGCTGTTTATTTAACCATTCACATTTTGAACATTTTATTCATTTCCTTGTTTTTGGCTATTATGGATATTTTAAACATTCATGTAAAGGTTTTTCATGAATATATATATTTCTAAGTAGTTCTGGGACAAATTCCCAAGAGTAAAATTGCTAGTCATATGGTAGTTGCTTGTTTAGTTTTGTAAGAAACTGTCAAACTCTTTATCAGAGTGGCTCTATCATGTTATGTTCATAACATCAATTATTAGTGATTTTTTTTGGTAGAACTAAGAAAGCAAGTCTTTCACAGAGCAAAGTTTTTAATTTCAATGAATCTCTATTTATTAATATTTCCTTTGCTGTTGTTGTCAGGTCTAAGAATTGTTGCTTAGCATTACATCACTCAGCTCTTCTCCCACTATTTTTTCTTAAATGTTTAACGGGTTTACAGTTTAAATTTAAGTTTACAATCCATTTTGAATTAATTTAACTTCTTCCATATGACGCTCAGCTCAATTAATAGAAGGTGACATGGGACAATGGAAACAAGTCTTCATTGCCTTGAGAGAAAGGGCAGATGAAGGACACACACACACACACACACACTGCACATTACTGCTTATAAATATCCCTTCCAGGCACTTCCATAGGCACTCAGAGCTTTAGTGACAAGCAAGAGAAAAATTGCTCCATCTTTCTTGAGTTTATAGGAAGATTTTATACAACATTAAAATAACTTAAACCAGGCTCGGTGGCTCAGACTGTAACCCCAGCACTTTGGGAAGCTGAGGTAAGTTTATTGCCTGAGCCCGCAGGTTCGAGACCAGCCTGCGCAAATTAGCGAGACCTCGTCTCTACAACAAAAAAATAAAATAAAAAATTAGCCAGGTGTGGTAGCACGGGCCTGTAGTTCTGGCTACTTGGAAGGCTGAGGTGAAAGGATGGCCAGCGCCCAGCATGTCAACGCTAGGGTGGCCGTGAGCATGCCACTGCACTCTAGCCTGGGCAGCAGAGTGAGACTCCAACTCAAAAAATAAAAAAAAATGATAATTTATAATGTACTTTATGCAACATTAGAATAAAATGACTTGTAGTGCTTGTTTTACATAGACTTCCCTGAATCATTGACGTGTATGATTTAGTCAGGTTATGGAGTAGAGTATGAAACTAAAAATCTGGCTTTCTACTTTAGTTTCAACTACACTAGAGTTATCTAATGACCGAATAGGAGAAATATAATCCATTGGTCCTCATGCTTGTTCTTGCTTTCAAACTCTCATCTATTTTTTTTTCTTAAAAAGTGTATGTGACAAGAGAGCAACACTACTTAAAAACCATCAGAATTATAGTTTAGTTCAAACATGGATATTCAGTTCATAAGTCTGAGTAAGGATCTCCGTGGAAGTCCTAACATCAGTTTCTCTGTGGAATTGGTGGGACATTTGTTTTCCTGATAAGAAAAAGGGCAGGTTGGCAGATTTTTTTCTCATATGTGGTTTCAAGAGACAACGATGGTTCCTATAACTCTGGTTTATATAATCAGATCCTTCAAGAACATGTGATATACAAGGACAAAAAATATAGAGTAAATTTTTGTCTAAGCCAAGGGGTGGCAAATATTCTCTATAAAATGCCAGATAGTACATTTTTTTAGGGCTTGCAGTTTACATACAGTCCCTGCTGCATATTCCGATTTTATTTGTGTAAACCATGCAAGAATGTATCAACTATTCGTGGTTCATGGTGTACACAAAAACAATCTGTAGGCAGCATCTGGTGCCCAGGCAGTAGTTTGCTTGTCTTTGATCAGGTTATGGTTTCATTGCAGTGGAATACAATCATGTGCAAATGCAGAAAAGAGTTTGTCTCTTCCCTCTTCAGATACAATGTTAAACTTATCATTCAAATACAGTCTATCATAAGTATTTCTGTGTGCATACTGCACTAGAGAGTAGACCTTGACATTCCAGGAAAAAAGGAAAAGTGAGAAGATTATGAAAGTAAACAAAAAACAAGTCTCTGGATAGATGTCGTTGACAGTTGTCTGAGAAGCTCCAGGACACTGAGAAGGCAACTATTTAAGTCTTAAAGGATTGGTGATCAACATTACTGAATGCATGTCAATTCCATCTTATTTTCCTTCTTCACTAATACAACATTGATTTCTTTAGAGCACAGTATGTGACTAGTAAATAGATATATTTCTCAGTTTCCTTTACAGTTTAGTGTGTGATATAATTATGGTCAATGAGATATATTTAGAAGTTGCTGGGTAAGAAAATTTTTTAAAAGATGGTGAACTTGACTGTCGTATGCTGATTTCCCTATTTTTTTTCACTTCTTCCTTTCTGGAATGTGAATGTGGCATTGGGGGTGAAGGACTCATTTTGCAACCATGAGGAAACAAAAAGAAGTATAAAATGTAAAAAAAGTCAGGGTTCCCCAAAGTTCTGTGAAAAAGCATTAACCAGCAATGAACGGTCATATCTGGACACTTTTTACATGAGAAAAATAAATTCTTTACTCATTTACATTTCTAATGGCCTGCTCATTTTATTATCAATAGGCTGGATCTCAAGAAAAAAAAATGTTTGTGAAAGACCATTCTATTTAGAGGGGCAGATTGAGTCAGACAACCAAGATGTGAAAGTATAGATTGAGTTTGAGCAATAGAAAATATCTTGTTTGGGTAGAGCACAAGGTTATGGGGAGAAATAACTAAAAGAAATTAAAAGGCATGTTGATACCAGATCATGAAGCACCATGCATAGCAAGATAAGGAGTTTGGACTTCATTCTGTTGTGAATGAGAATTTTTTTATTTTTATTTTTTGCAGGGAGGAGTGTGACAACGGAGATGAAGACAGTGTGTATGGTGCATTGGAAGCAGGTAAAAAGGACTAGAAGGTGTGGAGCTTTTTGTAGTAATTTAGTTGAGAAGAAATGAGAGCTGTGGAAGTGTATGTGGACAAGGTGGGAGGATAGATATGAGCAATGTTGCAAAGATCTGTTTTAACCTGCTTGCAGTTTATGTTCTCATAAAACTTTTATTATTTTCTTTGGCTGTTTTGTTATAGACCTTTTTATGAAAGACAACTGATCAAATCAGACTGAAAAATTAACGAATATGTGAATATTAAATAACACATTCCTGATCAACCTATGGATCAAAGAAGAAATCACAAGAGAAATTTAAAATATCTTGAGACAATTGAAAATGGGATACAAAGTACCAAACTCATGAGAAAAACTACTCAGTAAGAGTAGTTCTAAGAAGGAAGTTCATAGTGATAATGCCCACATGAGAAGAAAAAAAAAAAGATCTCAAATAAACAGTTTAACTTTACATCCCAAAGAACTAGAAAAAGGGAAAGGCTAAGCCCTAAGTTAGCAGAAGAAATGAAATAATAAATATCAGAGCAGAAATAAATGAACTAGAAACAAGGAAAACAATGAAACTAAAACGTGGTTCTTTGAAAAGATAAAATTGACAAACCACTAGGTAAATTAAGAAATAATAGAGATGACTCAAATAAAATTAGAAATAAAAGAAGAAAGATGAAAACTGATG